ATCCCACCTCGGCTGACGCCCACCATGTTCTGCGCTCTGCCACCTCCTGCTGATGCCCACCATGTTTCGTGTGTGCCCCCTAGTGGTCAGTGCATGTCATAGTGACTGGTTGTTCGATTGTTCTGCCGTTTGGTCTATTTGCATGTTAGCCTTTTATTATATAGGATCATTTTCTCAAGTGCCTAGGAAGTTAGTGTATAATTGGGTTTTCTTTTTGCATGTTGGGAAACAGTAGCTTGGAGAGGAATTTTTCTTTCAAGGCAAGTGTTATAGGTTTGAGATTTGGAGAAAGGGTAGAAGTAGAGGTTGGAGACAGGCAGACCATTTAGTTTGGCTGTTGCAGTTGTCTCGTAGAAGAAATCAAGGCTTTGGGCAACAGTGGTGTCATTGCAGATAGGAGAACCAGTATGTTGGGAATTAAAACCGTGTTAAATGTGGTATACATGAGAGGGAGGAAAAAAAGGTTGACCAATTCTGGGATCTTCATTTATTTCTGTTTAGGCTATGTAACAGCTATCTATATATATAAAAGCCTAAGCGACCGTTATGACCAGAATGACCGGAATGACCAGACAACCGGCCAGCAGCTATGATGCGCACTGACAGCCTCGAATCTGGTTCACCCACACCCAGGACCCAGACAGGAGGGAGTAGGGAGCCCGATTCCTCACTGAATTGGCCGTTGGTTAGCTTGCTGCTGGGGCACTGACAGCCCTGAATCTGGTTTACCTGCACCCCAGACCCAGACAGGAGGGAGGAGGGAGCCCGATTCCTCGAGGAATCAGCCACTGTTTAGCTTGCTGCTGAGGCCAACCTCCCATGGTCCCTCCCCTTAGCCGGCCTCGATGTGGGGGGCTGGCTGGCCAACCTCCTGCAGTCCCTCCCCACTGCCGGCCGCTCCCTCCTCCCCCAGCACCCCCGATCGGCCCTGATTGCTGGTAAGGCCGAGGGACCCCACCCGTGCACGAATCCGTGCACTGGGGTTCTAGTAAAAAAATAAAAATACATAGGTCCTCCATAGTTGTTATATTTTAGGCAAACAGTGATCCATGTCTGCAGCTAGGAGATTATAATTAGAATTTGAATGGTGCTTTGCATTTCCTTTGGGGATATTATGAACCATTGTATTTCATTTTAGAAATGAAGTTGCTGTTACATATGGAAGATAGGCCCAAACTGCCATAGAGGCCAAGAATGATAAATGTTGTTTGTCCTTAATGCTCAAGCCGCTTAATAATTGCCTCTGATCTCTTTCCATATAAACTTTGTGTCTAAAGTATTGAATCTGGAGTAGTTACACTCACATTTTATAATAGATAATTTTTCTAGTGATGGGGCATGGATGATGTTCCATTGACATTCTTTGAAGAGTACATTATATTCATTACATAATGGTCAGAAGTTTGTTGTTTATGTTTTTAACCACAAGAGGGTGTTTGTAGAGTTCTGAGCACAGTGGTCAGAGGCCAGTGTCATGGGCTGGCTCCAAGTTTGGGTTTATGTGGCCTTTGTGGTAAGTAAATAAGCTGAGTGATGTGTTGTGGTGACAGTGGCTTTCAAGAGTAAATACTGCCACCTTTCAATTCTTGCATCATTAGTAGCGACTTACAGTAACTGCTGTGGAATTATTTCAGACATGTAAACGTGACTAAGGTCAAGGTTGTTTCCTTTAGCTCTACTGCAAGTCTTCCTTTTCAGCTCACTTTGATTTTAGGTTTGAATAGACTTTTATAAAGCCAAAGGACTCTTCTTAAAAATAAATACCTTAAAATAACCGGATCCTTTTAATTTATCAAAAATGCCCTGTGTCAGACTGATTATTTTTATAATAGACTAGAGGCCTGGTGCACAAAAATTTGTGCACTCGGGGGAAGGGGGAGTCCCTCAGACCGGCCTGTGCCCTCTTGCAGTCTGGGACCCCTCGGGAGATAACGACCTGCTGGCTTAGGCCTGCTCCCAGGTGGCAGAGGGCAGGCCCAATCCCTAGGTGCAGCCCCTGGTTGGGCTCAGAGCAGGGCCGATTGGGGAGTTGGGGTGCCTTCCCCTGTCATGCACAGAGCAGGGCAGATTGGGAGGTTGCGATGCCACCCTCAGTCACGCTCAGGGTAGGGCCAATTGGGGGGTTGGGGCACCGCCCCTGTCACACTCAAGGCAGGGCCGATGGGGAGGTTGCGGCGCCACCCGCTGCCACGCACAGAGCAGGGCCCATCAGGGGGGTTGGGGCTCCATACCCTGTCATGCACAGAGCAGGGTCAATCAGGGGGTTGGGGAGCTCCCCCCTGTCATGCACAGAGCAGGGCCGATCAGGGGGGTTGAGGAGCTCCCCCCTGTCACTCACAGAGTAGGGCCGATAGGGGAGTTGGGGCACCGCCCCCTGTCACACTCAGGGCAGGGTGGATCAGGGGGTTGGGGCGCCACCCTCTATCACCCACGGAGCAGGGCCGATCAGGGGGTTGGGGCGCCGCCACTGTCACACTCAGGGCAGGGCAGATGGGGAGGTTATGACTCTACCCCATCACACACACAGCAGGGCCCGTGGGGGGGGGGGGGAGTTGGGCGCCGCCCTGTAACACCCATAGAGCAGGGCCGATCAGGTGGTTGGGGCGCCGCCACTCATACTCAGGGCAGGGCCAATGGGGAGGTTATGGCTCTACCCCGTCACACACAGAGCAGGGCCCGTGGGGGGTGGGGGGGTTGGGGCGCTGCACCCTGTCACACACAGAGCTGCAGGGCGATCAGGGGGTTTGGGCGCTGCCCCCTGTCACGCTGATCCCGGTGCCGGGAGGCCTCTCAGCTCCGCTGATCCCGGTGCTGGGAGGCATATTACCCTTTTACTATATAGAATAGAGGCCTGGTGCATGGGTGGGGGCTGGCTGGTTTGCCCTGAAGGGTGTCCTGGATCAGCGTGGGGGGTCCCCACTGGGGTGCCTGGCCAGTCTGGGTGAGGGGATGAGGGCTGTTTTCAGGCTGGGACTGAAGCTCCCAACCGCACCTTTTTTTCTTTTTTTTTTTTTTTATTCTGGGCCAGCTTTAGCTCTGAGGCCTCGGCTGCTGAAAACAGGTTTCTGGCCTTTGTTTACCGTCTGTATTTGATACAATGTTGCGGTCCGGCTGGCTGAAGCTCTGCTGAGTAAAGCAGGTTCCTGGGGTTTTTTTAGCTTCTTTATTCGCAACATAGTTGCTTAGAGTTGCAGCTGAGAGGCCGGCAAGTCAGGCGGGGAACATTGGAGTCCTCCGTCACTGAAGCAAGCAAGCAAGCAAGCAAGCCTCCCTGTTCGCATCAGCTGCCTGGCTGCCGGCCGCCATCTTGGCTGCCAGTTAATTTGCATATCTCGGCCCTACTCTGTGAGTGACGGGGATTAGCCAATGGGAAGGGTAGCGGAGTGACCCTAATTACCATGTTTCTCTTTTATTAGTGTAGATAAGAACAAATGATAATTGTTTGTAAGTTTTTTCAATTCCATCTGAAAATATGCAATTGAGAACTCTACTAATAAACAAATTTTTTCTTAACTTTGCATTTAGATTATATTTAGTAGTTTGGAATGCTGACTTTTAGGACAGATAGAACTAACTGGGTTTGTTTCTCATTTGGTACATTTGATTCTAAAGCACTTTTTCACTGAGTTCCTACTTCAGAGTAAGTCCCTGAAGTAACAGAGAAGGCAGAGAAATTAACTCTGGATTTCATCGGTTTGCCTTTCTCTATTAAAAAAAAATTTAACCTGTTTCACATTTTATATATAGAGAACATTGGGCATTCACAAAAGTAGACAGAATGACAGACTGAATCCCTATCACCTGTTGCCCAGCTTCAAACATGGACTGTCCTCTCTTCTGTATTAGTTTGATGCAGATCTCAGACATCTTGTCATCTGTGAGGTGTTTCCAGTTTCAGGTGGAAAGGGTACTACTGTGAGTTCTGCTCACTGAGTCACTGGGGGCTGGACATTAGAAATGGGCAGTCTAGGGCTTGGTGGTAGGGCTGCTGTCAAAGGGAATTATTTTGAATTTCTGCAGCTTTTATTAAAATCTGATGTGTTTCCTTTAAAGTGTAGCACAGACTTTGTGTATTGTCTGAAAATATTAATTTGTTCTTTACCATCTTTCAAAAAGACATTACGATAACTTAAAAAAATGTAAATGTATATATACTAAGATTTAAAAAGAGAGGAAAAGCCTATGAAAAATCTGAATGAGGGTCATCTTGTAATATGAAACCACTTACAGACACTGCAAGACCTTATACAGTAATCAGTGATATGCTGTGGAATTTTCTAGCGGTCAGAGTCAAAAGGAAATACAATCAGTTTTATCCTTCAGATTTCTTCCTGTCAGTGAAGACAAATTTTCCTCATGGGATCTTGTAAAGCAGTGTTTGCCAACCTTTCGGACCTCACGGACCACCAGTGGTCTGCCGACCACCGGTTGGCGACGGCTGTTCTAAAGGAGCTACTGGGGCATCAGGTGGAGGTCGTGGAGTAACTTGGTTTCTGAGCAGATGGTTGTCTGGGAAGCCCAGAGTTCTTTTTTGACTTGTATTTGGGGTTTGCAGATTCAATAACCTGCAGTAGCTGTAATTTATTGAACTCTGTTATATGTCAGGCATCATGCCAGGTGATTTTATTTATTAATCTTCAATCCATTCCTGCTCCATAGATACTACTTTCCACCTTTTTCAGGTGAAGAAATTGAAACTCAGAGAAATAACTTGCTGAAATTATGTAGCGGTTTGTACTCAGTGTGCTAAAATATTTGACATGTAGATACATGATTATTGATTTATGTTTTGTGGGTGTATGTAGCTACTTAAAAAAAAAGACTGGCTTGTCTTTAGATTATTGTCTGACTGGAAATGTGATCACTTTCATGAGAACAGGGTGGTGGGGCCATGGTTCATGATGAATCTTTTTATTCATGCTACCTGTTCATGATTGTTGTGCTGTTATTTTCATTGTGTATTACCATTTCTGGCTTTCACTCTTTTTATTTTAATGCAGAGAGAAAAGGAGCAGCAGGAAGAGAAAACTGGTTTGTTCAGGAACACAGTGAAGAATGAAGCCAGTGAAAGAAGAGCTATGATAACTCCTGCTCTCCGAGAAGCCCTTACTAAACAAGGTGAAAGCCCTTAAGAATTGTTGTTATAATACTATGCTTTAAGCATTCTAATTTAATCCCTGAAAGCAGAAGCATAAAATTGGGATTGCCAAAGGGAAAGTAGGTCGTGAAGTCCTTCTCTAGCCCAGTGTCTGTGTTACTGTGCCGGTTGTAGCTATCTAGGGAGTCACTGTCTTATTTCTGTGGATCACTTGTGTGCTGGCTGTCTGGGCCAGCAAATTCCTCTTTGCTTGTTTTATTGGGATGTTAGCACCTGTGTGGCTCAGGTATGCAGACAGAAAATGCCATTACTGACTTCTTTATAAATCACTGTTTATTAAGGGAAAATTATTAAATACAGAAAAAAGAACATATTGATACTATGCTGGGTTAATTAGAAGTGTTTTATCTAGAAGCATATCTGGTTTTTTATGGTTATACCTTATTAAGGAGGCTGTAGTTGAATGTACAAATAATGTGAATTATATTTTCTAAAGAAGAAAGATAAGAATTGGCAGTCAATAGACTGACTTCCTCTCCTCCCTCCCTCTTTAGTGAGAACCTTTTATGTGATGGTTATGACGATGCAGAGGAATATAATACATTATCTCCTTCAAGGAGCTTTTAGTCTATTAGAGGAGACAGACAAGAATATACAGATTTTACATATAAATTTGTATATATATAAAAGTGTTAAATATACATAAATATTATATATAAAACATATATGTTTGTCTTTTAATTAGGATATATAGACTATTTAAAGTGATTTTATGGTATGTTTAAATCTATCATGTTGCTATTTGTTTTCTGCTTGTCTCCTGTTCTTTGATTTTCTTTTTCCTGTTTTCAGATTAATTTTTTAATAATTCTGTTTTTGTTTTTTTTAAAATATATTTTTATTGATTTCAGAGAGGAAGGGAGAGGGAGAGAGAGATAGAAACATCAATGATGAGAGAGAATCATTGATTGGCTGCCTCCTGCACACCCCCACTGGGGATCAAGCCCGCAACCCGAGCATGTGCCCTTGACTGGAATCAAAACTGGGACACTCTAGTCCAGCGGTTCTCAATCTGTGGGTCGTGACCCTTTGGCAGTTGAACGACCCTTTCACAGGGGTCGCCTAAGACCATCCTGCATATCAGATATTTAATAGTAGCAACATTACAGTTATGAAGTAGCAACGAAAATAATTTTATAGTTGGGTCACAACATGAGGAACTGTATTTAAAGGGCCAGAAGGTTGAGAACCACTGCCTAGACTGTAGTCCAATGCTCTATCCCCTGAGCCAAACCAGCCAGGGCAATAATTCTGTTTTATATTCTATGTTAGCTTATTAGTTATTGCACTGTTTGTTATTTAGTGCTTACTTGAGGTTTTATAATAGATCTCTTTATCATATCATAGTATGTCCTTGTGTGGTGGTACACCACTTCATGCATAGTAGAGCAACCTTCAATAGTATATTTTCTCTTCAACCTCTATGCAGTTGTTATCATATATTTTACTTTTTACATATGTTATAAACATTGTTATTGTTTATTTTGGTTTAGTGAATTATCTATTAAATATTTGAATAATTAGAAACAATATTGATTTGTGGGTATGTAGCTACTTAAAAGTGGTTAACTTATGTAGTTACCACTTTTGGTGCTTTTCATGTGTTTGTGTAGATATGAGTTCTCTCTGATAGCTTTTCCTTCTGCCTGAAGGACTTATTTAAGCATTTCTTATGGTATAGGTTTGTTGGTGATGAGTTATTTCAGCTTTTGTATATCTCAAAAAGATTTTATTTTGCTATCATTTTTGAAGGATATTTCTGATGGATATAGAATTGTAGGTTGACAGCTTTTTTCCTGTCATGTTGTTCCACTTTTTGTTTACATTGCTTTTGATTAGGGCTCTGCAGTCATCTTCTATTTGAATCTCTGAATGTAATGTTTTTTAACCCCTGGCTCTTTGTAAGATTTCCTCTTAATTACTGATTTTGAGCAATTTCATTATAGTGTATCTCTGTAGTTTTTTGTTCATGTTTCTTTTACTTGGGATTTGTTGAACTTCTTGGTTCTATGGATTTGTAGTTTTAATTAAATTTGGACAAATTTTGGCTGTTATTTCTTCAAATATTTTTGTCACTTCTTCTCTCTCCTCTTTTTTTGGGATTCCAATTACATATATCATAGGCCACTTGAAATTGACCCATAGCTCACTGTTGTTTATTTTCACCTTTTAAAAAAAATTTATGTTTTTATTGCTTATTAAAAAAAAAAAGGGGGGGGAGAGAGAGAGAAACATTGATGAGAGAGAAACATCCATCAGCTGCCTCCTGCATGCCTCCTACTGGGGATTGAGCCCAGAACCTATGCATGTGCCCTGATGGAAATCAAACCTGCAACCCTTTTGTGCACACGATGACTCCCCACCAACTGAGCCACACTGGCCAGGGCTGCTCTTTTCATCTTTTAAAATTCTTTTTTCTGTTCCATTTTACATTTTGGATAGTTTCTAATGCTATATCTCCAAATTTAATTTAGCAATCATTTCTTCCCTAATGTCTAATTTTCTATTAATTCTATTCAATGTTTTTTTTAGCGTAGACATTGTAATTTGCATCTCTAGAAGTTCAGTTTGCGTCTTTTTATATCTTCCATGTCTCTACTTACATTTTCAAGCCTAGGAAGCATAGTTATAAGTGTTTTTAATGTCCTAATCAGCTAACATGTGTGTTATTTCTGGTTACTGGATAATTTTCCTCATTATTGGCCATGTTTTCCTATCTGTTTGCATGCTTGGTAATCTTTTATTGGATGCTAGATCTAATTTTACCTTATTGGGTACTCTATATTTTTGCATTTCTATAAAAATTCTTGAGCTTTGTTCTGGGAGTAAAATAAATTACTTGGAAGCAGTTTTGAAACTTTTAATCTTTTAGGGCTTGTTAGGTGAGACCAGACCCAGCTCTATACAGCTAATTATTTCCCCGTATTGAGGCAAAATACTTCTATGTACTCTGCCCAATGCCTTGTGAATCTGGAAGTTTTTCTGTCTGGTTGGCACAGTTCCCAGCTGGCTGTGAGCACCAGGTACACCTCTAATCCTGTCAGATGATTCTTTCCCATTCTTGGGTAGTTTTTCTTTCACATATGCACTAAGCAGGACTCATGCAAATAATTATAGGAATCCTCTGCAGACTCTTGAGTTCAATCTCTGTGTAACTTTTGTCTCTCAGGTACTCAATCCTGCTAACTCTAGCCATATGGGCTCCTCATACTCTCACTTCCATGTCCTCAACTAAGGGAGAGGTAACTGAGCTTTTTGTGGGTTTCTGCCTTACTGCAGGGCGTTGACACTTTTAAGACAGTAAGCTTGGGTAATGGTAGAGTTCACCTTGTTTGGTTTCCATCTTTGGGATCACCATTCTTTATTGCCTGATGTTTCTTGAAAACTTGTTTTACATATTTTATTATCCATTTTTTGGTATTTCAGGTGGGAGAGTAAACCATCTGTTACTCCATCTTGTTTAGAAGCAACTGCATGTTGGATTATCTTGGCACTGTGGTCAGCCAGAGGTTTCTCGTTTCTGTACTGTGTAGTTTCTTTTACACCTAACTAAGTGCGAAGTTTTACAGGGACCTGTATATCTTGGAAGAGAATGATATAAAGAACTAATATAATATAGAGTGTAGTTTCTATAATAGTGATATGAACAACACAGGAATCCAAAAGAACTAGAATTTTCTCTGGGAATCTTTTAAATGTTTATTCTCTATCTGAGATTTGCTATTCAGTTAGACACGGGTTCATCTTCTACTAGATAAGCAGTGCTTTGTTTATTTATATTTGGGATGTTTACATAAACGTGGAAGAGGATAAAAGACAAAGCCCTGCAATGTTGCCACTAGAGACTTGTAATCCAAATTGACACTGTTCCATTAATCATTACTGTGAAACGTATGGATGTTTAATCAGCCACTGATCTACTTATGCCATCATCCAGACTGTATTTCTCCATTTACCTCATTTGTCTGGAAGTCAAGAGTCTTTTTGTGCAAGAGACTCGTAATTATGGTTTATTACTTGAAGCCTCATGAGAAGCTTTATTAAATGTTTTAGGAAGTCAGAATGTTCTACTTGTTTGCTCTACTAGTTTGTTATAAAAGGAAATAATGATTGTTTTGGCATGGCTTTTCCGTGCTTTTCATGTCTTATGTGCCTCAAAAATTTTAAATGATAGGTTGTAGAGTGGTGCTGAGAATTCATGTTAGGTCCTAGAATTTGATTTTTCCACTTTTTTGAGCAATATTTCTTTATTTTAATCTTCCGTTGTCCCTCTGATTCTTCTTCTTTTTTTTTTTTAAAGTATTTTTTATTGATTTCAGAGAGGAAGGGAGAGGGAGATAGAAACAGCAATGATAAGTGAGAAACAGCATTGATCAGCTGCTTCCTACATGCCCCCTACTGAGGATCAGGCCCACAACCTGGGCATGTGCCCTGACCAGAAATTGAACCATGATCTTCTTATTCATAGGTTGATGCTCAAACACTGAGCCAAACCGGTCAGGCTGATTCTTCATTTCAAATATATTGTTACTTACTTTTACTTTATGGCACAGCATGTGGTTCATTTTTATAGCTGTTCCTTGCATCTTTGAAAAGCATTTTTGTAGTTGTAAAGTGCAGTGCTGTGTGTCCTTGGTTAGGTTTGCTGTGTTGCTCAGATCTTAGAGCTCTACTGAGTTTTGTCTGTGAGATTTGTTAGATACTGAGAGACATTACAATCTCTTCCTATGATTTTGGATTAGCCTATTGTTTCTTTATGTATTTTGAGAGTATGTTATTAGATGCATACACATTTTAAATTGTTTTATCATCTTGGTGAATTAAACTTGTAATGATTTCTGCCACCGGGTTGTTGTCTGCCATTATTTAAGCTATGGAAAAAGATTTTGCTTCTTTTATAAGCACTTTCTGATATAAGGCTTTGAATCAATTCAATTTTGTGTTTACTGTTTTTCCATTTAGGTTATCAGTTGATTGGGAGCCATTCTGGGGTGAAGCTTTGCAGGTGGACAAAGGTATTTGTCTTTATGCACTTTTTGTGTGGCTATTATATGCATTCAATGAATTTTACCATTTTAAAGGTACAATTTATATTTAATGAAATGTAATGATTTTGAATGAATTTGTTAAATGAGTTCAGCAAATTTTTATGGATGTAAAAAACCCTTATCCACCGCTCCAAAATAGAAACAGAGGCATGGATACATGGCACAGACTGACAGCTAGCTGTCAGAGGGGAGGGGAGGGGGCACTGGATGAAAAAAGACGAAGGGATTAGCTAAAGAACATATATGCATAACCCATAGACACAGACAACAGTGTGCTGATGGCCAGAGGGAAGGGGTCCTGGGAGTTGGGTAGAGGTGGGCAAAGGGGAGGAAAATGGGGATATTGGTAATAGTGTCAACAATAAAAATAAAGATTAGAAGAAAAGATATAGACTATTTTTCTTATCCCATAAGTTTACTTGTGCTTATTTCTAGTCAATTCCCCCTCCTCCACAGTCAGGAAACAGTTGCTCTGGAAGGGGGTCCCTGCTCAGCTGTAATTGTGTCATCGCGTTGAAAACCACATTTATGGCTGAACCCAAGCCTTTCACTCTGAGAGACCCGATGGGGTTCATCTCTGTCACGATGAAGTTGTACATTTCCTCCTGGCACAACCCTGATGGGAAAATGTCTAGGAACTTCTGGTTGCTCCACAACAGAGCGTGTGACGCGTGACCCTTGGCTGATTCTTCGGGGCCCGAGTGGTGGGGTTTCTCTGAGGTGACTTGGGTTGTTTCATCACAGTCAGGAGAACAAGGCCACAATGAGGTGTAACATGGGAACTCTAACGGGTAAAGGAAGGTCGGCTTCATGACCCGACTCATCCTCCTTGGCTTGGGCGACGCGACCCGACGTCCCTTGGTTTTTACCAAACTGAAGCTCAGTGAGAAATCACACCAATGCCTTGATCACCGGTAGTCGGGCGGGATCAGCCTGACGGCGGTGGCGAGGGCGGTTGTTTCTGGGCTTCTCAGTCACCTCCTTCCCCGACAGCATTCCCGCCGTCATCATGATAACTTGGCCAGTTCTGTGCTGGCAGTTGGAGCTGCCCGAACTTCCCAAAGTCCGCCATGGTGTTGGGGGCGGGGGGGTCACCTACATAATGTTTAAAAGAATTAGTGTTCTCCCCTAGCTTTAACATAAAGAGAGAAAAAAGGAAGTACTTTATATTAAAACTAGAGGCTTGGTGCATGAGATGCTTGCACTTGGGAGGGGGTCCCTCAGCCTGGCCTGTGCCCTCTCGCAGTCCAGGAGCCCTGGGGGGATGTCTGACTCACTGTTTAGGCCTGCTCCCAAAAGTGGGCCTAAGCCAGCAGTTGGACATCCTTAGCCCTACCCTGGAGGTGGGAGAGGCTCCTGCCACTGCTACTGTGCTCGCCAGCTGTGAGCCTGGCTCAGGGCTTCAGGCTGAGCAGCGCTTCCCCTGTAGGAGCGCACTGACCACCAGGGGACAGCTCCTACATTGAGCATCTGTCCCCTGGTGGTCAGTGCGCGTCATAGCGACCAGTCGTTTCTCTATTTGGTTGATTTACATATTAGCCTTTTATTATTTAGGATAGTTTGTATTTCTGTATGAAATGCTCAGACACTGTTACATTAGAAGGGATAATGAAACCATCAGCTTTTATAATGAACTAGAGGCCCGGTGCACTGTTTCTTGCACCAGTGGGGTCCTTCGGTTTGGCCTGCGGGGATCAGGCCAAAACCAGCCCAGTGCACGGATTCATGCACCAGTGGGGACCCTTGGCCTGACCTGCACCCTCTTGCAATCTGGGACCCCTCAGGGGATGTCAGACTGCTGGTTTCGGTGCACGAATCTGTGCACCGGGCCTCTAGTATGCATATAAGATCTTTGGTTAATCTCTTCCCACCCTCCTCCCTCACCACTTCCCTCTGAGATTCATTAGTCTGTTTCATGTTTCCATGCCTGTGCATTGAGTGTCTGCTCCCTGGGGATCAGTGCGCATCATAGCTACTGGTTGAACAGTTGGACACTTAGCATATTAGCCTTTTATATATATAGACTAGAGGCCTGATGCACAAAATTTGTGCAAGGGGCTTGGCCCTTGCAGCCCCACCTGCCTTGGCAGCCTTGGCAGCCCCTCGCAGCCTCAGCCGGCCTTCACAGCCCCTCGCAGCCTCGGCCGGCCCTTGCAGCTCCAGCTTCGTCTGGAAGGTTGTCTGGACTGTCGTTCTGTTGTTCAGCCTAATTAGCATATTAGTTCTTTATTATATAGGATAAGTTTAAGAGAAGTTTATAAATAGACTAGAACAGGGGTGGGCAAACTTTTTGACTCGAGGGCCACAATGGGTTCTTAAACTGGACTGGAGGGCCGGAACAAAAGCATGGATGGAGTGTTTGTGTGAACTAATATAAATTCAAAGTAAACATCATTACATAAAAGGGTACAGTCTTTTTTTTTTCAGTTTTATTCATTTCAAACGGGCCAGATCCGGCCCGTGGGCCGTAGTTTGCCCACGGCTGGACAAGAAGTTATTCTGTACAGTAATTAATAACAAGCCAGACTAGCCCTAACCGGTTTGGTTCAGTGGATAGAGCATTGGCCTGCAGACTGAAGGGTCCCAGGTTCTATTTTGGTCAAGGGCACATGCCTGGTTGCTGGCTTGATCCCCAGTAGGGGACATGCAGGAGGCAGCCAATCAATGATTCTCTCTCATCATTGATGTTTCTATTTCTCTCTCTTGCTTCCTCTCTGAAAAAAACAACAACAACAAGAAAAACACCTCCCCTCCCCCCCACACAAAACAAGCCAGATTTATTTTATGTAAAATAACAGGGAAAGAGGGAAATAGCCCTAATTGAAATAGGGCTAACACAACAGCAAGTCACAGACTTTCAGAATGGAAAAATGAGAAAGTTGGATGTCCTTGCAAGTGAGTGGGTCTTAATTTCTGTGTTGAATCAGGACAATTTCTGTGTTGAGACTTAGGAGGAATAGCAATGTATTGTTACTGAAAATGTATCTCCTGTCTTGAAATTCCACATCTTGTTGAGTTGAGATTTGCATTCTGTTGTTAATTTGTAACAAAACTTTGGCAACAATATCCTTTTTTTTTTTTTTTAATATATTTTATTGATTTCCCACAGAGAGGAAGGGAGAGAGACAGAGAGTTAGAAACATCGATGAGAGAGAATCATCGATCAGCTGCCTCCTGCACATCTCCCACTGGGGATATGCCCGCAACCCAGGTACATGCCCTTGACCGGAATCGAACCCGGGACCTCTCAGTCCGCAGGCCGACGCTCCATCCACCGAGCCAAACCGGTTTCGGCAACAATATCCTTTAAGTGACAATGGGAATAGAGGATGGATTGGAAACAGAAATGGTAGTAAGAGTGGCTGAGAGAAGTGTGGTGATAGTTTCAGAGTAAGATTTTAAAATGACAGACAACCCTAAAATAAACAAATTCAATTTCAAATAATTATTGCAAGACAGATTTCTCATCATTGTGCTATAAAATTAATATATAGAATGACCATAGTTGCCGAAACCAGTTTGGCTCAGTGGATAGAGCGCCGGCCTGCAGACTGAAAGGTCCCAGGTTCGATTCGATTCCGGTCAAGGGCATGTACCTGGGTTGCGGGCACACCCCCCAGTAGGGGGTGTGCAGGAAGCAGCTGATCGATGTTTCTCTCTCACCGATGTTTCTAACTCTCTATCCCTCTTCCTTCCTCTCTGTAGAAAATCAATAAAGTATATATTTAAAAAATATATATTTTTAAAAAGTATATATTTAAAAAATATATATTTTTAAAAAGTATATATTTAAAAAATATATATTTTTAAAAGTATATATTTTTAAAATATATATATTTTAAAAAGTATATATTTAAAAAATATATATTTTTAAAAAGTATATATTTAAAAATATATATTTTTAAAAGTATATATTTTTAAAATATATATATTTTAAAAAGTATATATTTAAAAAATATATATTTTTAAAAAGTATATATTTAAAAAATATATTTTTAAAAAAATATATTTTATTGATTTTCTACAGAGAGGAAGGAAGAGGGATAGAGAGTTAGAAACATCGGTGAGAGAGAAACATCGATCAGCTGCTTCCTGCACACCCCCTACTGGGGGGTGTGCCCGCAACCCAGGTACATGCCCTTGACCGGAATCGAACCTGGGACTCCCTCAGTCCGCAGGCTGACACTCTATCCACTGAGCCAAACCGGTTAGGGTGACCATAGTACTTTTAAAAACAACTTTGATTAGTGAGAACCCTGCATTTCATGTCTAATTAAATATTTGGTTCCAAGTGTACCAAAGCATCTCAGATCTCATCTATAATGTATATGTAGGTGATGCCTACACATATTATGCAGATATGTGGCTATTTGGTCAGTGACTTAACTACTAGAAACAGTATTGTTTTCTGTGGCATTTTTTTTCAGACTGGTGAAATTTCTTATGAAATTTTACATTAAAAAAAGTGTTTTCTTTCCTCAGTTTATAGCAGCTGCATTAATGGAAAATTCAGTATATGGGTAAATTGTGCAGAAAATACTTTATTTGTAAAATGAAGTCAGTATCTAGGTTTAAATAATTATAATCAGGTTTTTCACAAGTATGGAGGTCTGGTGAGTTGTTTGAAAGGAAGTAGACTTTTTTCCCCACTTTCTTTTCTTTTCTTTTTTTGCATTGGACTATCCTGAGCAAGGCATAAGATGTGAAAAACCTTGGCCCCACCTGCTTATTGCCAATAGTGCCTCCTAACCATCGTGAGAACAAAAATAGTTCCAGGAATTTCCAAAATACCCTCAGGGGTGTTATGGGTCCCATTGAGAACCTTGCCCCAGTCCGTTTTCATTGCCACCCCCAAGATTCAAGCTGTCTGCAGTGCAGTTAGTTTCCGCCCTCTATTCCTGGCTTTCAGTGAACCTCCCCACACTGTCTCCCTGCCCAGTTTATCTGAGATTAACCAGATTAATCTC